CGCTCGGCCCTCTCCGCCCGGCCCCTCATCCCAGGCCGTTTCTTCCACATTCACTCGTGCAGGAGGGAAGAGGCACCAACCTCAGAATGAAAGTGACCAGCGCCTTAGCTTCGGCCCTAAAGGACTTATAACTCTTTCCTCCCCACTCCTCTGTAAAGCAGCCACAGGCTCAAGAGGACAAAGGGACATTTCAAAGAACGACCAGTGCAATTCCCAACTTGCTCTGCTTGGGAGCTGCGGAGCGTCTGTGTGGGGTGTGTGGTGGGGGGGCCAGGACCCCAGGCCAAGGACACACGGGCAGCAGCGCCCAGCCCCCACTCTCCCTCCCACGGAGAACACCCGGAAGAGCCTGGCCTCGGGCCACTGTTCTGTGGTAATATTGGAACTTAAAAAATGCTCAACTTGCTGCAGTTCCAATTCTCCTGTTGCAACTGTTGCCTGGGACAGGAAGCACTGGGGAGAGCCACGGTGATCCCCCCAGCACTGCCCGTCTGCTCCGGCCCCAGTCTTGAGCCTGCCCTCTGTGCGTCCCGCCGCGTGTCCTTGCCGGCCACGTGCTGCCCCCGCCGTGGCAGACACGTTGCTTTTTTTCTTCTCCATTCTGAAAGGGGTTTTTTGTCCCATTCTCTTTCTCCGTTGGTTGGAAACACTCTCTTGGGCTCAACTGTGGCTTATCAGGGTTTCCATCTGTGCTTCTGGGTCCTTGGGTGTTTCTAAAGTGATTCCTGGGAATTGCTGGAAGGGGCAAAGTTTGGGAGCAGCTAGGTGTGGACGGGAGGCACAGGGAAGTCAATGGGATTTACCAGGACTGAGGGTGTGCAGGGCTCATGGCACTGCTCAGAGGGTGGGCTGGCAGGGATGCCTTGGTCACCGAGAGTCCCTCGAGATGGGTCTGGGTGGGCAAGCCTGCCCACCCCTCGGGTGCCAGCCCAAAGGCTGCCTCAGCTGGTGGCACCTAGGCCAGAGCAGAGCTGGGGGGCTGGGTCCCCAACCTCTGGGTCAGTGTCCCAGGAAGGGACAGTCTCTGGGCACTGTGCATTTGAGTTTGTAGGTCCATCTGCAGCTGGATGCCCCCCTGTATTCCCACCCCTTCATAAAACCTCAGAGAACACTTTCTTCTACCCCAAAACCTAAAGGTGCTGCCATGTGCCTTTAAGTCCAGAGTGCCTACTTGGGAGCTTCAGGAGAAGGCTCTGTTGCTGAAAGTGGCTGCTCCTTAGGGACTTCAGTGTCTGACTTATTCTGGACACCACTTCCCCACGAGGCCAGGCTGGCTCCTGCTCCACCCACCTCATGGACAAGGCCCAGAATGCCCACTCAGCACCCGCCTCCATGCTGATACTATGAACTCATGTCCCAGGAGGGGTCCCTGGACCTGGTGCCAGCCTGCCCAGCCCGAGCCCTGGGTGCAGGGGGGGAGGGGCGCATCTGACCCACAGGCTAGGGACCCCACTGGCCCCTGTGACTCTCAGACCCTTGGGAAAGCCGTTTGGGAGTCAAGCTACAGAACAACATCCTGGGATCCACACATCCCAGAATCGCTGGACAGAGAGGCCTAGACTACAGCCCCGGCTAACAGGGATGGTGCCAGTCATTTTACAGATAAGGAAACTGAGGACTCAATGTAAGAAGTAACCTGCCCAGGTCAGGCACTGAGCTGCCCGTGGGAACTGCCAGAGGCTCTCGATGACCAACCCATCTTCCCTAGGTCCTTACTCTGCCCCATGTCCTGGAGCAGAAATCAGCCTGTCCACCGTGTGAGCTTGTGTGAAGCAGAATGAACCCGTGTGAACCTGTGTGAGCCCATGTGAACCCATCTGAAACAGTGTGACCCCATGCAAACCTGTGTGAGCCTGTGTGAACCTGTGTGAAGCAGTGTGAGGCCGTGTGAATCTGTGAGAGCCTGTGTGAATCTGTGTGAACCCATGTGAGCCCGTGTGAGCCCATGTGAACCTGTGTGAGCCTGTGTGAACCCATGTAAGACCATGTGATCCCATGTGAACCTATGTAAGTCTGTGTGAAACAGTGTGAGCTCATGTGAATCCATATGAGCCTGT